ACACCACTTAGCTGCAACTGAAAGGTCTGTCCTGCAGAGAAAGATGCAGCAGTCTACTTCCGTGAAGATTGACAGCCTTGGACACTCTATGATGGGACACTTCTACTATGTCCTACAGGGATGCTGAGCATTGAAATCCACTTGATGTCAGTGATTCTGGTTTGTTTCTTTTTTGATACCTATATGAAATAAGCTCCAGTTCCATTAACTTCCCACTACCTACAGAATGAAGTTCAACCTTCTCTGCCTAGGATGGATCTGGCTCCATCCCCCAAGCAATCTAATCTCCCACGAGTTCTCAGCACGCTTCCCTTGGGCTTGTCCCATTAAACCTTGTTCCTATTATTTTCCCCACTAGATTCTTTTCCCACTTTCTTTGGCCCATCCAAATCCTACCACCCTTCAATGGCCAGCCAGCTTAAATAATGGTTTTCACTTCTGGGCCTTTCTTCACAGTTCTGCACACATTAATGTCTTTTCTCAGATCTCCTATAGTGCAAATTGTTTCTATGGCTCATTGTGGCTTTTATATACTACTCTGCTTTGTTATGTTTTCATGCGCTTGCCATGTCTACCCTGAGGCGGGGACTATTATTTTGTTTTTAACCTTGTCTTTGTATTTCCTGTAGCATCTCACACAAAGCTAAGCTTGTTTTTGGTACATTTTGGTACAGAACACCCTAAATCCCATTTATACACACCTGACACAATGTACACAAAGCTTCTCTTTCCTGACTTCAGGAGCAAGCATTAAAGCGCCATGTTTGCCCGAAATCTTTCCATCACCTTCCACCAACCTGATGAGTTTCCTGGTCTTTGTTGTGAGCAGAAAGCCCTTTAAAATCCATAACTGATTTCTTCCCTTATCCTTCGCCTCCCTGACCTAAGTAAAACCTAGCTCTTCTTGCACCCACTCCGTTCCTGGCTACCAACTCTCACGGAGACCCTTCCTTTTCCTGTCCACCTGGTTGAAATACGGAAGTAGACAAATTCGCCCTCATTTGCCACCTACTATTCCTGCCTCTTCTTATCAGTTTTTCCTTCACTGTCCACCTTTTTTTTGCAACTAACTTATAATACCATTTTCTTCCAAGCCAACAAGTAAACTTCAGTAAATTCAGTATTTACATCATTCAGCCTTCGGACCCATGCATGACTTCAAATTCCTTATTCTCACCTCTATTGACTTACATCTCACATCTCAAATACTGAGCCTCTTGGCTATGTCTGTGAATTACATAAAAGGCCATTCCTTTCAATTCCTCACCACACCTGATTCCTGCCACACATACTTTCTCACCAGTTCATTTCCACTGCTGCTCCATAAATTAAACGAATGAGCATGGTAAAAAAGACAGGCTCTGGGGCCTTACCAACGGAGCTTCTAATCTAGTACATATAGCCTCACCCCAGAACTTCTTATTTAATTGGACTGCATTAGGGTCTAGACATTAATATCTTTGAAATTCCTTTGGGTGATTCCGCCCTTGTAACAAAAGTTGAAAGCCAGAGAACGGGGACTTTAACTGGCTGCCAAAGCAACTGGGGTTCAGTCAGGTTGAAGACCACCGTTAGGCACTGCCTGGATAAAATGGGCTTCCTTCATATTTACATCACCCATTTTGAGGCTGCCTTTTCCAACATCCTCTCTCCCCACGTCTGCACTTTTTTTTTACACCTCCAGGATATATCCCACACTCATCAATCGTACTTCCATCATAATACAGCCTCCTATTTATTTTAATGAGCTCTTCCTCTCCATTGTTTTTACATTCACGTAAATGTGAGGCTTTTTGGGGAAAAAGCCAACATTGAAGGGCCACTAGAATTGAATCATAAACTCAATCTAGAAAGAGCTGTTAACCTGGAGCAAATAGAATTTCTAAAATGACTCAAAGGGGGAAGAAAAAAGAAAAGGCATTGCTGGCAATTAGGTTCCTAAGTAAGCCTGTGGGAGCTCTATTTAATCAATAAGGAGGCTGAAAAACAGCAGGTCACTAAGCTGTCTTTCTCTTCCCGGCGCACTAGCGCCTTCTCCACCCACTGGTGAGTTCAAGTCATTACTGGGTCTCTCCTGGTTTTCTCGTCCTTTAGAAGGATTATGCACATGTCGTCTTGACTTAAAACTTTTCACTGCTATGGTTCTGTTAATCCTAGATCTGAAAAATCTTTCTCTGACAAATATATACACAGTCCCTCCTCTTCCAACTGCTGGAAAAACAGAAAAAAGTTCCATTCCCTCCTGTCAGAACTCAAAATCTAAAGAACTGATGCTAATGACAAACCTCTGTCCATTCAACATGATGTAAATTATGAAGCTGAGCTGTAATTAAAAACAACAACAGTCCTGACAACCCTGAAAGAACATGAAGAGATCAGAAACTGTCTTCAAGATTTTTTACTCATCTTCTTCTAAATCTGTGTTTTAAAGGTTGAATTCAAGGTGTTTTTTTTTTTAATCTTTCAATATGCTATTATTTTGGTATTGAAAATACAATAGCTTGATCGGGTGTACCTTAGTCTTCAAAAAGCAAGGATGCCACTTATTTTCAATTGCCTCCTATGCATGTGAAACCTGGACAATGAATAAGGAAGATGAGGAGAATCGACATATTTGAATTAAGGTGCTGGTGAAGAATATTGAAAATGCCATGGACTGCCAAAAGAACAAAGAAATCTTTCTTGGAAGAAGTACAGCTAGGATGCTCCTCACTAACAAGGATGGCAAGACTTCCTTCTCACATAGATTAGACATGCTATCAGGAAAGACTTCCTTGGAAAAGGATTCACTGCCAAAACTCACTGCCATCCAGTTGATTCCGAATCACAGTTACCCTGTAGGACAGGGTAGAACTGCCCGTGTGGGTTTCTGAGACTGTAATTCTTTACAGCAGTAGAAAGAAAGCCTTGGCTTTCTCCAGTGGAGAGGCCAGTGGTTTTGAACTGCTGACTTTTAGAGTAAGCAGCCTAATACATAGCAACTACACCAGCAAGCCTCCTTGGAAAACAACATCTTTGATAAAGTAGCAGCTCAGAGAAAAAAAAAGGAGGGCTCTCAATGTGTTAAGATTGACATAGTGGTTGTGACAATAGATTCAAACACAATAATTGTGAGGACAGTCCAGGGCTGGTACAGTTCCATTCAGTTGTACTTGGGGTTGCTGACTTAGAGCATCTAACAACAACATTCATCTGGCTGGCTAGAAGTACAAGATCATAATCCCTTATTCAAAATTCTAAAATGCTACAATCTCTTAAAACACAGAGCTTCTTTCATAACCCCTCAGTGCAAATCAGGACTTGACCTGAACTCTTCTGACAATAACCCTGACCTAGACAGACACAGGGTCACTTACAGTCACACTTTAACCTTTTAATAATTCCCTGAAGACTTATAAATATACTTGATTACAGGGAAGTGGTTCAGATGCCACTGTGGGTATTACAGAATATGCGGTATATTCTTGGTACCACATTCTATGTAAAACCTGAAAAGCTCTGGCGTTCAAAGCCCCAAGAGCATCAGATAATGGATTGCAGACCTCCAGCCACAAGGGTCATGTTTTCACTCCAAATTTTCAACATCTCAGTTATAATGAGATAAATAGGTTTGGGGCTATGGAGTACTTCTTTGAGGCCCACCCAAGTCTCATTCATAAAACTGTTTGAGTACAACCATTCATTGTTATAAATACCTGACTTCGAAATCAGCTGCTGGAACAGTCCCTACTTGTGAGTCAAGAACTTCCTAAATAAACTCTGAAAATGTAGGGTACCAGCACTAGGAATCTGGTCTCCATGCAGAAGAGTGATAGATTTCCTCAAAGCATTTCCAACGTAATCTCTAACTCTAGCTCCAACGTAGCAATCAACTGTAGGTAATTTCAAATGTGTCATTTTACTACTGTACACAATTTGCTGCATGGGTTTCACTTGAAGAGCTTGCTCTAATAATTTCCCATTGCTGTCACAGTCCTTTGAAAAGCCTACTGAATTATCCCTAATATATAGGTGTGTATGTATACATATATATACATACACACCTATATATTAAAGAGTAAGTTATTTTAGTACGTTCTTAGTCATATCTGGGCGGCCTTACGAAGTAAAATCAAGCAGGAATAAAGACAATGTACAACGTTCACTTAACTTTTACTATTTGGTCACGCACGTACCGCTCCAGACATGTCATGGTCTTCACGTATCAAACTTTCCACAAGTCTTTAAATATGGCACCAATATAAAAAAAAAATCTCAAAATCAGAATTTTATGTTCCAAAGGAACCAGGCACAACCGCCAGTAAAAATAGGAATGGGGGCGGGGGCAAAGGAGGGGGAGGGCTGTCCCATGACATCATCGGGAGAAATGTAGTTTGAAGCCTTCAGAGCGCTCGCTCTCCGAAGAACCATTCTGAAAATCCAGCTTGAAAAAAAGCATCCCTGTCAAGCTTAGAGAACTTGAGTTGAAATAATAGGGCAAAAACAAGCCTTCCCCCCTTTAGTCACATGCCTGTTCCATATGAAAAATAAAACCATCCCGGATGCATCTACCTCCCACTTCCCTGACAGCAAGGGAAGGTCTCAATTAGGTGGGAACGCGCCGCAGAGGCTGTTCCATCCGCAGGGGGAAGGGAAAGCAGGCGGGCCCCTCCCTCCGCTCCCGTCTGGCTGACACCTTACCCTCCAGCCGCAAAGAACGCCGACTCCAAGAGGCAGGTGCCAAAGTGCCCCCCCCCGCCCAAAATAAATAAAATAGAAATTCACCCCAAATGTCCGGCGGACCCCTAGCCCCCATCGTTTCCCGCGGGTGGAAGGTGCCGCGACCGAAGTGTTCAGGGCTGACCAACTCTCTGATCTCAGACACACAAAGGACGGCCCGAGGGCATCTCCCCGGGTCCCGCCGGGGTTCCCGGGGGACACCGGGCCTCGGGACGCTCCTCGCCCTCCCTCCCTCCCGCGCCCGCCGTCGGGGCGCCTCGCGGCCCCCGCCCGGCACCTACCGCAGTCGCTCCAGCGCCTGCCGACACGATGGGCGGCAGCTTCTCGCGCTCGGGCTCCTTCCCTTTCTTCTCCTCGGGTGCGGCCGGC